TGAGATTTCGGAGAGGACCATTGAAGCGGGTTGTGCCACTCTTGTTAAGACAGCATGGGAGAGAAGAGGTAATCAATACTTAGTTCTTTTTTTTATCGTCTCATATGCTAACCCTTGGTTTGCTATTTTTTTTTTTATTAGTGAAGCAAGCAGTTCCTATGACTGACTTAGGCGGTGTTGCTGCCATTCACGGGGCTCTCGCCTCCGGGTAGGGTGATTGGCTAGGATCGTTCAGTCGTCGGAGGATCGAGAGAGCGCTCTCCGCTACCGTCATTCCGGGAAAGATTCTCGGACGGGGAGAGAAAAGGTTATCGTCCGCCGGAGAACTCTACTTGGTTCAACAGGAACAACGACGACGTCGGACACTGGTGAGTTGAGGGCCGTGACACCGATGACCTCGGACCCGGTGCCCATTTCGTCGCGGATGAAAACCTCTCCGAATGCAGCGCCAAGGACTCTTGCTACTTCGGTCTTGCGTCCTCACTCTTCTTCTCTTACTCCTGATGAGATTTCAAGGCGGCATGATCAGTCAAGGAAGAGAGCTCTCCTTTCCGGTGGTAAAGGAAAAGGTACTCCTGATGGAATCCTCCCGAAGAGACAGAGACTGGACACGTCTCCCACGGCGGTTGTGGAGAAAGCAGCATCGGCGGGACATGATCCGACGGCTTCGGCCTTCCTTACTTCCAGGACTTCGGCTCCTGGCAGTGTTTTCCCACCGGCCGGCGGGTTGCTTCATGGGAAGGCTTATGCATTGACGAAATCCATGGCTTCGGAGGTTTGATTCTTCTTTTTCTTAATATTTTTCCCATGTCTTAGCTTCTATTGCTTTGATGGAGCACATCTCCTCCTCCTTCCGTGATTGCAGCTTTTTGCCCATTTGAATGAGCTTGTTGGTGATTATGATGAGGACGTCCGTACCAGAGATAGCGAGCTTAGCGAGGCCAGAGCAGCCAACGTCGCCTTGCAGTCGAGGCTGGATGAGCTCGTTGAGATGAACCGGGTTCTGGAACGCGACGCCCTTTATGTGCGAAGGAAAGAGGAAGAGTGGGATGCAAAGTTGACGAAAATCTTGTCGAGACGTGCTAAGGACAAAGAAGAGATAGCTTCGTTGAAGGGACAGCTGAGTTCTGCTAACGATCGCCAGGATACTAGAGTAGAGGAAGCCGTTGCTAAGGCGAGAGAGGAGATGTCTCGTGGTCTTATGGATAAGGTCAGCGAGGTCTCTAGGTTACTTGCACTGATTGACGGGAAGGCCAAGTGCGATATGCTGGATCTTGCTAAGATCGATGCGAACCTGGAGTTCATCGAGCTTCTTCAGAAACCAGAGCCACCGGTTCTAGAAGACGAGATCAAGGAATTG